TTTTACAGCTGTAGGTTGATTAATACTAAAGTTATTGAGCGAAAATCAGGTAATAGTGACCTTGACCTTTAACCTTGTGACCCAAAAATTAAAAGGGGTCTTCTACACAACATTGACAATCATCCTATAAAGTTTGAACACTGGAGGCCAAATGGAACTTTAGTTATACTCCAGAAATCATAATTTTCAGTGTAAAGTTCATTGTGACCCTGACCTTTGACCGTATGACCCTAAAATCAATTGGGGTCATGTATTGGTCATGGCTTTTATCCTATAAAACTTTACAGCTGTAGGTTGATTAATACTTATGTTATTGAGCGGAAACTGTTTTCAATTTTAAGGTAATAGTGACCTTGACATTTGACCATGTGACCCCAAAGTCAATAGGGGTCTTATACTCAATATGGACAATCATCCTATGAAATTTGAATAACGTGGGCCACATGGAACTTAAGATATGCTCCGGAAACCAAATTGCTAATGGACGGACGTACCAACATTTGATATTTAAAATTAAGCTCATTGACTACACCTGGATAGAAGTCCATAAGCTCATAAAAACAAAAAATACCTCACAATATGAATTTTATGTGTTTTTGTTCTTTATTTAACTATGGAATGAAACTCATAACTCCACTGGTTTGGGACCACCAAAACTTCACAACCACCAAACCCAGACGGTCCCGAAAATGCTTAATTTAGTTGTTTTTCTTTGTTCATTGGTTGAAGATCTAACAGTCACATGTTTAACAACAATTAATGTTTGTTTCTTCTATATAATTATAAGTAATTAAATTCATTTCAACGGTAATATCTTAACGTATATTTCAAGAATGCTGACGTTGACAATTTGAGGGTTAAGAGTGCAATACCTGACCTGATATACCAGCTATAATCATTTGCAGAGTAAACAATAGAATATCCAAAAAAAATTAGCATTTGCTGCTAAAGTATTGCATATCATGTTAAAAATGAAACTTTAAAATACCTAAGCAGTTAAGTAAATTAAATCATATCATGTACATATCTGTCCTGACATATGGTTCTGTGGTGTAGTCAATTTAGGTAATTTTGATACCCTCCTTGACGAGCTTCAGATATAAGTGTCAACATAATCAGAAATAAACAAGCTAGTGTGTTAGTTAGGTGAAGAACCTAACTGTACTATTTCAAATTGTTCAGTCTCTAAATTTGAAATTATTAAATCTTTATGAAAAAATGTTCAAAAAGTAATATGTTAGCTCTCTGTGTTAGCTTGGACGGACGGATGGACGGACAGACACCAGGGGGAATAACATAATATGCCCAAAATTCTTTCCATAAAAATGTTTAAATCTCTATTAAAGGATGTTTTAACTCTATTAAAGGCTTATAACAAATTTCCAGGATTCAGAAAGTAAAATGCATCCAATTTATAACAGCATATAATATCTGCAAAATTTTATTATTTTTTATATAAATATCTATACACAAAAGTGTTCAATGCATATTTTACATGTGAATTCAACAAATTTCAATGCACAGTCCTTGGCTCATTGCTCAAAATTGCCATAATCAATTGTAAATGGCTTAAAATTGCCAAAAAAGATTGTGAATTGATCAAAATTGCCACAATAAAGTTGTAAATTGAATAAATGTGTCGCAATTGATCAAAATTGCGAAATTAATTTACAAAGAGCCTACTTATGTAACAACAAACAATTGTGAACTTATCAAAATTACCATGCTCGATGTGTACTCATTTAATAAACTAACTATAATATTATAAACAATTGAGATTTTCTAGAAATGATAATCCCTTGGAATAAACACCTGTGTCTTACCATGGAGTATATATTTCAATCATCTGTAACTAATGCACTATGCATATGATATATACTTGTGGAATAGTGCATGAAGACTGTCAAAAGCACAAAACTTTCTATAATAGATTAGTCTTGTTGCTTAAAATCTGATAAAATGAACTTTGAACAAAGCTGTAAGTAACAAATACATGTAAATTTGAGCATAATTTCTGCAGAATGCATTGCTCATGTGCATAACAAATTAAAAACTCATCTCAATGCAATGAAGTTATTTATTGACAAAACAAAATTGTTTGTTCAAAATGCAAACATGTAAATGTTACACTGCAAATGAGAGATGACAGATGTTGTTACTGTTCATGTTCCACTTATAAAAAATTTAAAAAAGCTTGGAAAATGTCCAAAAATTTGGGGAAAATAAACTTTTTAAAACGGGGGTTTTTCCCTTTTTTCATAAATTACACATTTAAATTTTATGAAAGCCCAGGGCCCCAAAGCCCAAAGCGTTAAAATGTATGTTTATTGTTTCTTTCCATTGATTATTTTTTGATGATGGTTTATCTGTAAATTTAAAATTTTAAAACAAAATACAAAAAAAACTCTTTTTGGGTCGGGTTAAAAATTCAGCCCCTGACAGAAAATTTTAAAAAAAAATTTTCAAAAAACGTAATTTTTTTATTTGAAAGGGTAATTTTTCTCCCCTTATTCATGGGTTAAAAAAGGGGTTTTATAAACAAAGGCTTTTAAAAAATGTAAACAAGGATAAACTTATTAAATTTAAAAACACCTAAACATGACATGATGTACAACAATCTTTATAAACATACAGCATGAAAATATTGTAAAACTTTTACTGTATAAGAGTCTTAGAGATTCATTCAAATGCACAGCAAAAAAAAATTTAAAAAAAGCATAATTTTTAAAAGATATCAAATTAAAAAAATTTAAAGTTTTTTGATAGGGAAAGTAAAAAAAAGCACACAAAACCGGGATTTCCCAAAAATTCTTTTTTAAGATGTTAATAAACTAAAAATGTTATATACATAAAAAAAAATCTGATAAAATCAATTTATGTATGTATAAACAAACAAACAGTAAGTTATATAACTGTCTTTGCACTACATTGTTTATCATGCTATCAAAGCATAATGTCAAAGCAAAATGTGTTACAGATGATCATCATTTGATTTTCACAGCACTAATTTATCATACAGCATCCTGTCACAGTACTATAAAACAAAATTATGTCACAGTTCTATATAATACAGCATTATGTCACACTGCAGTATAGAACAGTATCAATGTCACACTGCAAAAAACAGAGGGTAAAAAGCACTAAAAACACAGCACATGAAAACGGGTTCTATAAGACGGGCTTTCCTCCCAAGGGTATATAACACAGTACCCCTACATGTAAATGGTACTAAAATACAACATAAAATGTCACAGAGTTATTTTAACACAGAAATATGTCCAGGCCATTAAAAAACCCGGGTTAAATTAAATGTCACGGGTGCTACAAAAAAGGAAATAAATTGTAAACCAGTGCTATAATACGGATCATGTAAACAATGAAATAAAAATAGCATAAAGTTAAAAGGGGTTATAAAAAGCACATGTCACAGTGTAAAATAAAAGCATAAAATTTTCACAATGTTATAACACAGAAATAAAATTCACAATATTTAAACACAGCACATGTCAATGCTTAAATACAGCACCCCCTGTCACAATGCTATTACACAGCATCATGTCACAGTGCTACAATATAGCATCATGTCACATGGCTTTAAAACACATTATAGCATAAAACCGGCTATTTTCCCTCTTTTGCCCATGTTATAACGGGACCAAAACCATGTGTTAACATAGTCATGCGCTCTTGTTATAGCCTGGTTTTACCTATGCGCAATACATACAGGGCCCAGTAAACAAACAAAATCAAAGCACAGAAGGCGCTGAATTTGTTTGGGTCTCAGAATGTCAGAAAGGTGAAGGTTTTGAGATTATTAATCAATTTGTTTTTGTATAGTGCCACCAATGCTTTCCAGCGTTTTAATTGTAGTAGATTGGCTATTTATACTAATTGCAACACTGATATTCGATCCAATGTTTATTTGACTTAAACAATTTGAAAAATAAAATGAGTTGCCCGTAATTGGGATTTGAAACTCCAGACCTCTCGCTTCCTAAACGAGCGCGCAAACCCCTCGGCAACGGGTGAATATGTTAACGGCCTGAAGAAAACCATATTATTCTATTTAGGGTTTGTAACAACGCTAACTGTTGTTTAACACTTGCGTAAATAATCATGGCGCTTACTATAAGCATGTATATTTATAAGGAATAAAACAATATAAAAATTCTTTGACCATTCGGAAATTATTTTGCTTTAAAGTTAATCCGACTGTCATGTGACCATATTTACGCAGTGATCTCCCCTAAATTTTTCAGCCTAAGTGTTACATATAAAGGGAAGTAACTGCTTCAAAAAAGCGGACTACTTTCGGCACTTGCAATTAACAGCATTAGGGTCTGAAATTTCGCTACCATTATTTGTTTGGTCTGACGACCCACACAAATAAAAACTGACGATTTTGATTGTTGGCCAAAGAGTCGTGCGCTCTTGATATATTGAAATTATTGATTCAAGGGCCACAATCACATAACGGCAAGCAGCATTCAAGTTACTATGCCGGAAATACGTCGTATAGTTATCGCTGCTAATCTTGGTTGTCGCCCTTTCTAAGAAACGGAGAGCTGTCAATGTAAACAAAATATCTGTCATTCAGTTTAACCCTCAGATTAACTTACAAAACAAGATAACACAAAATATATATGAGAAAATGTTGTTTTACTGATGTTTATATTGATGGATGCTCTTAATATTTTTTTTTGAGTGCCTGATTTTTTATAAACTTGTGTGCTTGAAAAAAACATAAACGATACTGATGTCACTGATCCTTTTTCTACCGTCAATCTGAAATCATTCTAGGAATTTCTGAGGATCATGTTTTGTCTTGGGCGGAGTAATTTAATGTTTTTTTCTTGAGTTAATAATTTTCCAATGTTAAGCTTTGTTAAATCAATTAAAATTCGAAATTTTGTTCTGTTCTTAGCTTTTGTATTCCCCAAGTTGTTGGCCCCAGAAAAATAAAACGCATATGTAAAACATGTAGAATTGGATAAATACCGTCCAAGCACAAAGATTTAATGTATGTGTTTTGTATTAAATATACATCATGAATCTGTTTTAAAATTTTAAGCTATAATAGCGTCAACGCACGTTTATTTGGTGTATTAAAGTCTGCAGATATCTCGGAACCGTTCCTCGGGACTCTTCAGACGTTATAACACAGAAAAACTTGCGTTAACTCTATAGTATTAAGTTACAGCAATATAACACAGTATCATATCACAATGCCATTACACAGCATAATTTCACAGTGCTTTAAACACAGCATCATGTTACAGTGCTCTATAACACAGTATCATATAACTGCAATATAATTCAACATCATGACAAAGGAAGATTATAACAAACAGTCATATCCCATGATTCTGCAACACAAATATTATGTAATAGCACTATTGACATATGAAGCCACATCATTATTACAAAGTATAATATTACTGGTATATAACAGCATTATACCACTGTACTTTTACATAGCATCATGTCACAGAACAACAACATAGCATCATGTTACTGACTCACTACTTATTTCTCTTGTAGATCTTCTGTACAAATGCTTTAAACATTTCTTTTGGTAATTCACCACTACATTTTTCTATCAGCTGTAAGATCTCTTGAAAACTTTTCTCTTCAAAGTCTCTAAATTCCTCTTCTAGTCCAAGCTCTTTGTATAGAGATTTCACAACTGAAACTTTTGTTCCCTCAGAGCTGCCATAATTTTCCTGAAAAGAGATCCTACCACACTATAATATTAAAGCAACATACACAATTATTAATGAAAATTTAGTGTTTTTCTCTATTCCTTTATAATAATCAATTTGATTTTATACCACCTGTATGTTTTCCATCCTTCTCATTGAATATTTGTCCTGGTCTTGCTTTCTGGGCTTTGCTTATGTTTTTACACATGTTTGGTAGTAAATAATTTCCTGTTGCTACTGTTCTAGCTTTGTCATCTCTATTTTGCAGGTTTATAGTGATGCACAACTTTCTATGTATTAGACTGTTTTACTTACCGTGATATGATATTTGTTTCATTTAATACACTACTGTTTAACTTTGCTTTAATATACTCCTGTTTAACTCTGCTCTAATATGCTACTGTTTAACTTTGCTCTAATGTGCTACTGTTTAACCTTGACTTAATATGCTACTATTTGCTTGCTATGATTTCCTATTTACTTGCAGTGATAGGCTACTATTTACTTGCTAAATGATTTCCTAATGTTTACTTGCTATGCTGGTAGGCTACTTGTTTAACTTGCTATGGTATGCTACTGGTTTGCTTGCTTTTACATGATGTTATGCTATCATATTACCCTAATATGATCATTTTAACTTGCTATGATACCATGTTCTTTATACTTTGCTGTGATATGTTAACTTGCTATGCTATGCTTTTGATTTGTTTGCTTGATGAAGTAATGCTATTGTCTTACTTGGCTATGATTTGTTATAGTTTTAATTTGCTATAATATCATATTGTTTTACTTTGCTACTGATTTAACTTGCTGTTGTATGCTACACTTTAACTTGCTATAATATGTTATTCTACTGGTTTAACTTGCTGTTGTATGCTAAACTTTAACTTGCTATAACATGTTATTCTACTGATTTAACTTGCTGTTGTATGCTACACTTTAACTTGCTATAATATGTTATTCTACTGATTTAACTTGCTATAATATGTTATTTTACTGGTTTAACTTGCTGTTGTATGCTACACTTAAACTTGCTATAATATGTTATTCTACTGGTTTAACTTGCTGTTGTATGCTACACTTTAACTTGCTATATTATGTTATTCTACTGGTTTAACTTGCTGTTGTATGCTACACTTTAACTTGCTATAATATGTTATTCTACTGGTTTAACTTGCTGTTGTATGCTACACTTTAACTTGCTTTATCACATAAACCGCGGCGCAGGAATGTAATAAAGCCATTTAATAACAAGAGCTGTCAGAAGGACAGCGCGCTCGACTTTTTTAGTGCTTGCCTATAAAACAAAACTTTGACAGTTAAGGGCACACAAGACTTTAACTAGGAATTTCTAAGTACAAATCAAGAAACATTTTCACAGAGTTATCTTCTCTTGCTTACAGATAGGTCTCATGATGGCACATAAGAACTCCAACTTCCAAAGTAATATCTCAAATGGTTAAGTCAACAAGTGGACAAGAATGAAAATTTTAACTGAGTTTCTAAGTCAAAAAGGGCCATAATTCAAATAAAATCCTTAACAGAATTACCTTCTCCTGCCCATGTTTTGGGACCATGATGGTAAACAAGTATTCCAACTTTCAATTTAATATCTCAACCAGTTCAGTCAAAAAGTTGACTGGTACAAAAAAGTTAACCAAGATTCTAAGTCGATAAAAGGCCTTAATTTTTAAAACAAATCCCTGACAGAGTTACCTTCTCTTGCATACAGATGGGGGTAATGATGTGAAATAGCATTAAAAGTTTCAAAGCAATATCTCAAAGGGTTAAGGCAATAAGTGGATTTTACCCATATTCAATGTATTTTCTAAGTCAAAAAGGGGCATAATTCTGTCAAAAACCTTGACAGAGTTATGTCCTCTTGTCTGTTGATGAAGGTCGTGATGGTAAACAAGTATGGTCAGTTTCAAAGCAATACCTCCAATGGTTTTGAAATAAAGTGAGGTGGTACAAAAAACTTAACCAAGCTCAATACACTTTCTAAGTCAAAAAAGGGCCATAATTCTGTCAAAAACCTTGACAGAGTTATGTACTCCTGTCTGTAGATGGAGGTTATGATGGTGAACAAGTATGGTAAGTTTCAAAGCCATACTTGTAATACTTCTGAAATAAAGTGGGGTGGTACGAAAAACTTAACCAAGGTGTGACGCCAACGCCGACGCTAACGCCGACGCCGACGCCGGGGCGAGTAGGATAGCTCCCCTTTTCATAGAAAAGTCGAGCTAAAAACGATATTACACTAGACGATATTACACTAGTGTAATAACACTTTGACGTCACGTCATTTGCACTATAAACATAGCGTTAAAGCGCGCTAATGTTAGCGTTACACTATAGGCGTGTCAAAGAAAAATGACTCTTGTTAACAGTTTACCGTTCTTATTTTATATATGTGATAAATAGAATATTATATTCGTGTAGATTCAATACTAAATTTATTGAACTCGTTGAATAAAAAAATATTATGCTTGCCAGAGGCTCGCATAATATGATTTTATTCAACTCGTTCAATAAATTTAGTATTAAACCTACACTCATTCAATATCCTCTATATAATATATTATTCTACTGATTTAACTTGCTGTTGTATGCTAAACTTTAACTTGCTATAATATGTTATTCTACTGGTTTAACTTGCTGTTGTATGCTTCACTTTAACTTGCTATAATATGTTATTCTACTGGTTTAACTTGCTGTTGTATGCTACACTTTAACTTGCTATAATATGTTATTCTACTGATTTAACTTGCTGTTGTATGCTAAACTTTAACTTGCTATAATATGTTATTCTACTGGTTTAACTTGCTGTTGTATGCTTCACTTTAACTTGCTATAATATGTTATTCTACTGATTTAACTTGCTGTTGTATGCTACACTTTAACTTGCTATAATATGTTATTCTACTGGTTTAACTTGCTGTTGTATGCTTCACTTTACCTTGCTATAATATATTATTCTACTGGTTTAACTTGCTCAGCATGCCTTATCTTAGATTCCCTTCAGTTTGCTCTTTAATTATACTAATCCATTATTCTAATGCATTGATTTCTATGTTGTTTTTTTTAAATTGATTGATATATTTTAAAATACATATTTTTTTCTTAAATGTTGAAATCAAAGTACTAATGAGTTTCATGAAGTAGATCTATGTGAAAAAAGAAATTTATTGAATTTTATAAGTTTGTTAATCCTTACAATGGAACATCAAAAATAAACACATCTGACAACTAGAAAATATTGGATTTCAATGACCCTGGTATGGATGAAAAAAAAATCACCTGAATTGACCACTTTTCAACAAATGATTCAGGAGTTCGTGTCTCTGCCATAAAGAAAATCAGTTGTTTTAAAATGACAGTATCAATTCTGAGGTATAGTATAAAGCATCCTCCAAAAAGTAATTTCATGGTTCCTATGACCTGGAAATTGCAAATTTCTCCCACACTGACCACTTACTTATCCTGCATGATTTCTGAATCAGCAATTAGAGATATAATTATGACCATGATTTATTGTCTGAGATCAATTGCCACAAAGACGTTTTTATTACCAAAGGATCAACCCAGCAAACCATGGATTAGTAGGATTACAAATCTAAAACTCTCCATATTCAGCTAAGCAAGTCAACTTGAACAGGTGGTGCGAAGCAGCTGAGAGAAATCACTTAAATTAAATAAACAAACCTTGAGCACTGCAAGTTGATGAGGAGATGCCTTCTGAATAGCTTTAATGACTAGCCAGCTACATTTATTGTCTTGTATATCTGTTCCTATCTTGCCTATCACATCCTCGTCTCCATAACAATCTAAATAGTCATCCTATCAATATATAAATATACAAATATACATTATAACTACTGGATATTTAAGCGTCACAATAATTTTGCGAATGTCAAAAAGTGGACTTTTTGCGTGCGGAAATATTTGCGGAAATATGATTTCTTGAATTTAAGACTGTTTTTGTGATTTATTACATGCTTTTCAGTGGTTTATAGAAATAATATATATCAGTGATATAAACTGGAAATTTCACTGTTTTAAACAGTGAAATTATCAATTTGATAATTTCACTGTTTTGAATTTAAGCCCCTTACGTTGTTTCAGTGAAATACCAGCGTGCACAGTACTTGGAACCAACTTAACGATGTGACGTTGTAAATGACGTCACATTGTATTATTATTTGGCGCGCTTTTCATTCAGTATTAGGTTAAATGTCTTTTTAAAACGTCTCTTTGCATATAATAAAAAGAAAATTTGTTTAGTTTAGTGTAAGATCAAAATATATTTCACCGAGTGAGCACAAAAAGGTATACATGTATTTCACGAGTGGCGCAGTGGATATTTAAGCCTCACAATAATTTTGCGAATGTCAAAAAGTGGACTTTATGCAAGTGGAAATATTTGCGAAAATATGATTTCTAGAATTTAAGACTGTTTTTGTGATATCTTTAATTAAGCAGGTACATGTTAAGAATATGTCTTTATTGTAATTGTTCTATTCAGTCATTTAACATCTTTATTATTGATATAACTGTTTGATATATTCATTGTTAGTTTGATAAAGGAGCTGATCACACATTTCTTTGTCATATTTTGAAACATTCTTTTGTTATATGAATAACCTATTGTGTTATTTATTCATATATTATTTCATTAAAACTATTGTGATTTGTTATGACCAAACCTTAACAAACAAGCAATGAAAAAATTAATCTCAGTACCTGAACAATTAGACTTATTCATGTAAGATATTGTATGAAAATGTCTTTTCAAATAATAGAAGAAAGTTTGCCTAGGAAAGATATAATTTTCGTGTGATCAATTAGTTGCGAATTATTTCAAGTCGCAAAAATTGCAATTATTTCCACATCATAAAATTAACCACTTATACAGTATCTCTGAATTAAATGAATTCTACAACAATCACATTTCTTAATTTATAAACTTATATGTGTAGTAGACCAACTTTTGTATACTTCTATGAAATAACATCACAATATGGCTGATGACTATTTTGGTCCTTGAATCTAGTCAAATCATACCCATAACTTAAATCTATTGCATAACAAGATTATAAATATAAATTTGGTTGACACAACATCAAAAATATTATCAATATGATTACCAAGTAGACAAGGTAAGATATGCTTGTTTTGATAATTTCATTAGCCAAAACTCATTTATGCAAAATGGGGTAAAAGCATACAAGAAGTAAACAAGATCTACTTATATTACAAGTGTTGTGCAAGTTTCATTCAAATAAAAAAACAAGAGGGCCATGATGGCCCTAAAGTCGCTCACCTGTATATAGGCCCCCGGAGCAGGGCCAGTTTAAACCCAAGGGCTTTTATTTGAACAAACTTGATAGACACCAATTAGAAGATGTTTCATGCTAAACATCTACGGTCTAGCTTGTTGGGTTTTTTTAAAGAAGATTTTTTTCAAGTTTTTTTCTTTACACATATAGTTAAAAACAAAGACACACCTGGGGCAGGGCCAGTTTTGACCCCCGGGCTTTTATTTGAACAATCTTTGTAGACACTTACTAGACAATGTTTCATGCTTTATATCTGAACTCTAGCTATTCAGTTTTTTTCAAAGAAGATTTTTAAGTTTTTGCTATACACATATAAGGAAAATCAATGTCCCCTGGGACGGGGCCAATTTTGACCCCAAGGCTTTTATTTGAACAAACTTGGTAGACACTCACTAGAAGATGCTTCGTGCTTAATATCTAAACTCTAGCTACTTGAGTTTTTTCAAAGAAGATTTTTAAGTTTTTGTCATACACATATAAGGAAAATGAATGACCCCCGGGGCGGGGCCAATTTTGACCCCAGGGCTTTTATTTGAACAAACTTGGTAGACACTCACTAGAAGATGTTTCATGCTTAGTATCTAAACTCTAGCTATTTGTTTTTTTTTTCAAAAAAGATCTTTTAAGTTTTTGTTATAAACGTATAAGGAAAATGAATGACCCCCTGGGCGGGGTCAATTTTGACCCCAGGGCTCTTATTTGAACGAACTTGGTAGACATCCATTAGAACATGTTTCATGCTAAATATCTTAGCTCTAGCTCTTTGCATTCTTTAAAAGAAATTTTTTTAAGTTTTTACTCAATGCATATAGGGAAAATCAATGACCCCCTGGGGCGGGGCCAATTTTGACCCCAGGGCTTTTATTTGAACAAACTTTGTAGGCACTCACTAGAAGATGTTTCATGCTTAATATCTAAACTCTAGCTATTTGGGTTTTTTCAAAGAGATTTTTAAGTTTTTGCTATACACGTATAAGGAAAATCAATGACCCCCGGGGCGGGGCCAATTTTGACCCCAGGGCTTTTATTTGAACAAACTTGATAGACACCCATTAGAACATGTTTCATGCTAAAGATCTTAGCTCTAGCTCTTTGAGTTCTTTAAAAGAAGATTTTTTAAGTTTTTACTATATGCATATAGGAAAAATCAATGACCCCCTGGGGCGGGGCCAATTCTGACCCCAGGGCTTTAATTTGAACAAACTTGGTAGACACTCTTTAGAAGATGTTTCATGCTAAATATCTTAGCTCTATCTCTTTGGGTTCTTTAAAAGAAGATTTTTAAGTTTTTACTATATGCATATAGGGAAAATCAAAGACCCCCTGGGGCGGGGCCAATTTTGACCCTAGGGCTTTTATTTGAACAAACTTGGTAGACACTCACTAGAAGATGTTTCATGCTTAATATCTAAACTCTAGCTATTTGGGTTTTTTCAAAGAAGATTTTTTTAAGTTTTTGCTATACACATATAAGGAAAATCAATGACCACAGGGGCGGGGCCAATTTCGACCCAAGGGCTTTTATTTGAACAAACTTGGTAGACACCCATTAGAACATGTTTCATGCTAAATATCTTAGCTCTTGCTCTTTGGGTTCTTTAAAAGAGGATTTTTTAAGTTTTTACTCAATGCATATAGGGAAAATCAATGACCCCCTGGGGCGGGACGGACGACAGACGACGGACGGAGAGTGATCCTAATAGCTCACCCTGAGCATATGCTCAGGTGAGCTAAAAATGAAACTGCTGTCATTTCAACTCAAAACTCCCAGTAGTGCATGATGTTCAATAAAGTAAATAAAGTTGATACAATAACACATTTGTGTGTTTGCCTAACATTTTTTAAGTAAATTGCAACATATTTTTGTCATATCTCAGTGGCATTCCTTAATACCTTATTGGTCATAACAAATTTCTCCACAAGTGACCGACTACTTATCACACATGATTAATGAATTAGGGATGAGACACAAATGTCCATTAGACTAAATTGACTTGATGTCCAAGATCAATTGTCCTAGAATAATTTGGCCTTGTCTGAGAATTGACCTGTGGACAAGTTGTTTGCAAGTTTAGTTCTAATCAAGTCAAATAATTCATTGACAAAAACATATACATGTTCATCACCAAGTAACCTTTTGGCAGTACAATACAAAGTGCAGGAAAGTATGATCCATTTTTATAAATTACAAATACATGTATAAGTATGTATCAGTGTACAATTATTCAAACAAATGTACTGTATTCCTAGAAATGTTCGCGGATACAATATTTCGCGTTTTTTACAACGTCGGCATTTTCGCGGAGACAAACTTTCGCGGATTTGTAGTAACCGCTAATTCCGCGAATATTAAGTCGCTACGGCCTAAATTACAGTTTTTGGAAGCTACGTTTTTGATGCATGACCTTGCCTGTTTAGTACTTTTAATTCTTTTATTTTTTTGACAAATTGCGCCTAAAGCGCTATGCTACTCGATACCTTTTCATCTATTGACTATTCTAACACGGACGGTTGTTCCGTAAACACTTTTTACTTATTTCCTAACATTTTTTCACTATGTGATTACGTAAGACGTTAGCTTTTAATTAACATATGAATCATTACTGATTTTATCTTCAAAATGTCGATACGTATTTTTTACACAGTATCAGATTATCAAAGTAGCACTTGATCACTATTGTACTTTTTACAAAGGATTACACCTACTCCAAACAATTAAAATCCATGTCAATCAATGTTTGCAAACTGTAAATGCTTTTGTATACGCCGTGACTAGCGAATAACGTCAATAAGCATGATATTTACTAATGATTGACATTTTTTCAGGGTCCAAACAGGTATCTATCACATACATACATTATTCTAATCTTTACACATTTCTATGGCACCTGTGTGTACATGAATTGAGTTCTGAAATAAACTTTGAAAACTTTGAAACTTATAGCACCTGTGTTTATATGTTTTTTGTGTAAGTAGATTGTAATAAAAATTCTGCTCGTTTATATTTTTATTTGGTTGAAGCTAGTAATGTTCGCGGATATGTTATGAGTGACATATTTGCGGCTATAAAGATTCGCGGAATCATGCCTACCGCGAAAAGCGCTAACTTAAAATGCGCGAAATCTTTTCTATGAATACAGTATTAAGTAGATTTAATTCTTAGTTGCATTGCTGAATATACAAAATTTGCTCTTAGTTAACAATTACATCATAACCATTAAAGAAAAATAGAACAACTACCAGTATTTGTATCAAGTAGACAAATAATTGTTGACATACAAGGTAGGTGGCCACAGACGGTCACCATGACTACCAAATATTCAGAAGCACTAAAAGCCATCTTACTGTACAATTAAACTAGAACAAACCTGAACTTGGAAATATTCTCCCATCTTCAATAAAATATCTTTGGCACATTTATGGTTAAAATCATCACGGATTCCAGCCTGAAATCAATTGCTATGGTATCAGTTAAATGAAAAAATAACTACATACATAAAATAAATATTTGACCACATGAAAAATTAGCGGAAACAATATTTCAGAAATAAGCATGAAATTTAAGAATACAACAAAATACAAAGCATGAAAGAAAAGCCATATGTTCACTCTCTCTTCTGTTAAATATACTGCAATTAAGTGGTGTCATACCCTAGTGGTTAAGTTGGCGAACTAGTAATCTAAGGATCGTTAGCTATTTGGTTTCAATCCATGTCAGCAGAAAGCCGTTGTTTCCTTGAGAAAAAAATCTGTACACTCATTGCTCAGAACTGGTTTGTTCAAGGAATAGAATCAAGAGTGTATTTATAGGCTTAGTAACAGTTACCTACACACTCAAACTAAAATAAACTCTGTATAAACTTATTACAACTTACATAAAAATAATTTCCAGTTCCTTTAAAATATACCCAACACAGAGAGTAATTAACTTACAACAATACTGTATATATATACTGTATTAATCATTTCTGACAAAGATGTTTTTTTAAATATAATTCTTCATATAAAATTTACCAAAAGGACATGCTTAAAGATCCTGTATGTTATAATTGCGGTTGTGTACCACACTTAAATGAAATTATATATATGTATATAATTATGCTTATAAAACAATTTTCAAACATTAAAGAATAATTATGTAAAATATGTACTACAAATTTTTGTACATATTATATGAAATCATTAAAATATATGCATCTATTTCTTATTGAAAAATTTGACTAAGACATTATAGAAAATAATTTTTTTATTACCTCCCTTTATTAACATGAAATGTTTATTTCAGTAATATATTTATAAATAATGCTTTTTGGAACTTACAAAATTGATAAATCTTAATTTGAGCATCATATTTATGATATAACAACATAAAATAAAATTGTGTTACAGGATCTTTAAGAGTTAATCATAAAAATATATGCTCTTAACAGTACTCACCATGTACATAGCTATGGCTACAGGTAGATAAAATGAGTAGAAGGCGGTCTTCCATTTCACAATTGCATTATATTTTTCTATTGTATATGAAGTGAAATCAACAGTTCCAGCTGGAGGTGATACTGTCATGTCTAAACATTGTCCAGTTATTGTACAGTGTGTTATCTGAAAACAAAACCACCATCATCAAGTTTACTTGTACCAATATGCATAATTATGTGTCACATTCTAAACTTATCTGCAAGATTATTAACTCTTTACCTCATATATACGCGAAACAACGCACTTTAGAGCCCCCCCCACCACCTTTTTAGGCCTCAAATAGTGAAAAAATGTCCTATTTGGGCCCCAAGCCCAAGCACATGTCTCCAGTGAGCACTTTTTTTGGCGTCGCCCCCCCCCCCCCCCCCCATCCAAAAGATACATCAGGGGGTTGCCAGAAGGAGGATGTGCCCTGTTTGGGGGGTTTGAAGGGGGGCGGTAGTCCCCCTCATCGCCAAGAAAATCTTGGACTTGTGAGAGGCTTAAAATGACCCCAGGTCGATCATAAGGTAATGTGTAACCAACGCTGAAAAGCCTTTGACTCTATCTCAATCCCTTGAGAAGTTGCAGCACTTTGAAATAAATTTTGATGGAAAAAATCAAGGCTTTGAAAATAGTGATTTTTGGCCATTTTGAGATGTCCCCTCGTTGCCATGGTAACAGGAAATTTAAGACTGAGCATGTCGTTACAAAGGCAATGGTCAAGTCAACATTTGTGCCAAGTTTGATTAGTATCGAAGCATTTTTCATAGTTTCATAGCAGTTTAAACTTGTAACAGGAGGCTTTTCAATGAAAACGGCCATTTTTCACAATATGCTCATGAGGGAAATGGTGAAAGAATTTAAGTGTACACATGTGATGAAAACTAATAAAATGGTTCTGTCGTTGAATTTCCAGTGCAGTTATCCAAAATACGCATGCCCTTTACATCAGACTGAGAGTCATATTGATTTGCCTTTGTTGTCTGTAAAAAAAATTATAACAAAAAAAATTCGCTACCTACCTACCCACCCCAAAAATTATGGGTAGGAGCACAGCAAACCAAAATGTTAATAATCCAGGTCTGGTTTAAAGATACAATAATCTATATACATATTTAAAATTAGTAACATTTCTTAATTTTGCAAGCATTAAGAACAAACAAGTGTAAAAATGACAAGATCAACTAATATTGTAAACATGATTTTCAGCAAAAACTGCACATATTCAGAGATTACCATGCAGTTCAAATGTTGGCTGAATCTATATAAACTTCCCAGGAGTTTCAAACTTTACAACAGACATATATATACAGACATTCAACATAAACCGTCTTATGAAGTGATTTATACAAAGAAGTTGACATACACTTGGCCCAGTGATGTGTCTGCCTCTCAATTGACAGACCATTGGTTGGAACCTTTCTAAAATCACACCGTTTCCTTATACCAAAATTGATTTGTATAACTAAATAAAATACTAAAACAAGAGCTGTCACTCAAGTGATGAATGCCCCCGAAAAGGTTTCTTAAGCATGCAGGTATTATGAAAAGAAGAAAAGAGAATGAAAGTAACTAATTGCTGAATATTGTTCTTTGTATTATTGTACCTGTAATCTCTAATTGTGATAGCATGAACCTTCAAAATATAAGTGTGACCTTGACCTTTGAAGAAGGGACGTGGTTCCTGGACACGACAAAATGTTGTAATGAGATAGACATTTGTGCCAAGTTATTTCAAAATCCCTCCATGCATGACAAAGTTACAGTCTGGACATGATTGTTGTGTAAGTGGGGACACACAGACAGACGGACATGAGCCTTAGCCACCACACATTGTCTTGATGTGGTAGACATTTGTGCCTAGTTATTTTAAAATCCTTCCATGCATGACGAAGTTACTGTACGGACATGAATGTGTGTACCTATAAACTCTAATCGTGATAAAGTGAACTTTAAATGGTAGTGTGACCTTGACCTTTGAGGTAGGTAGAGACGTGATTATTGGACGCAAAACATCGTCTTGATGTTGTAGACATTTATGCCAAGTTATTTTAAAATCCCTCAATGTATGACAAAGTTACAGTCCAGACACGAATGAAGTGGGACAGACGGACAGATAGATGGTGCGATTATATTATGCCTCCCTACGGGGGCATAAAAAGAAGAAAATTTCAGAATTATTAATACTCAATATTATATGGCTAACTTACCTCATGGAAAAGTTCTATGATGTCAATATAGTACGATGTATCTCGTATGTAATGTTTGAGTATTTTATATATGCAAGACTCAATGTAAATACCATCATTTATTGCCTCAAGCCCAACATTTTCCTAAAATAAAATAAAAAGATTTAAATGCATGCCTTACATAATAGAACATACAAAACAAGAGGGCCATGATGGCCCTGGATCGCTCACCTGACACAACCGCATCCAAGCAATGTCTTAAACAAGCATCATGGCCAAGTTTGATGACAACTGAGTCAAACATGTGACCTCTAGTGTGTTATAAAGATTTTTCCATATTTGGGCAATGTGACCTAATTTTTGACCGGACACGACCCATATTCAAACTTGACCTAGAAATCATCAAAACAACCTTCCTGACCAATTTCCAGGAAATTTGGATCAAAACTGCAGCCACTAGTGTTAAAAAGATTTTTCTATTTTTAGCTCCTGTGACCTAGTTTTTGACCTAAGATGACCCATCTTCGAACTTGACCCAGAAATCATCAAAACAACCTTCCTGACAAATTTCCAGAATATTTGACTCAATACTGCAGCCACTAGAGTGTTTACAAGCTTTTTCTATTTTTAACTCCTGTGACCTAGTTTTTGACCTGAGATGACCCATCTTCGTCCTTGACCTAGAAATCATCAAAACAACCTTCCTGACAAATTTCCAGAATGTTTGGATCAAAACTGCAGCCACTAGTGTTAACAAGCTTTTTCTATTTTTAGCTCCTGTGACCTAGTTTTTGACCGGAGATGACCCATCTTCGAACATGACCTAGAAATCATCAAAACAACTTTCCTGACAAATTTCCAGAATATTTGGATGAAAACTGCAGCCACTAGAGTGTTAACAAGCTTTTTCTATTTTTAGCTCCTGTAACCTAGTTTTTGACCGGAGATGATTCATCTTCGAACTTGACCTAGATATCATCAAAACAACCTTCCTGACAAATTTCCAGAATATTTGGATGAAAACTGCAGCCACTAGAGTGTTAACAAGCTTTTTCTATTTTTAGCTCCTGTGACGGGCAGCACGAAATACCCAAATACACCCAAATACACCCAAATAATGCCCAAATATACTAGGGTCGGGAATTATATTCGAATATTCTAATATTCGAAACACTACCGAATATTCGAACATTGAAAAACGAATACGAATATTCGAAAAAAAAGAGTTTTTTTTTTTTTTTTGTCATTACTTTCAAATTTCAATAAAAATCGTAAATAAAACCATTGACCTTTACTTGACCAGGTGTTCACACGTTTGTATGACGCGTGTCAACGATTACCGCCAATTAACTGTGAAAACTTTGGGGTCTAGTTGATCAAAGGGGCACCCGTTTCACAGTTTGCAATTTACCTATTTAACAGAATATTATCATGTAATTCTTTCCGATTTTAATTATCTTATTTATTGTTTTCTGTGCAATAATCTTTCCGATTAATCAGTTATTGTCTAAATTTTGTGAAGACGAAAAAATCGACATGTATTAATCGGTGCTTTATGAAAGCATGGTCAGTGTCTATATTCTGTCAAAATATACATATATATTTATTCCGTAGAAACTAGACTCCGTGTGATATTTACTGCGTTATAGCTAAATTTATCTGAAGAATATTTTAAACCTAATCTAAAATTATAAATAAATAAAAAATATATTTAATTCAAATTAAGTTTTAATATAAATTATGTGTTTTTGGGGCTAAGAGGCTATGGTGATTCATGTTACACGTGAATTACCTCCCGTTAATAAGACAAATGATCAGCAGTCGGATTAACTGAACAAAAGGCAATCAAATTATGAATTTATTTCAAAAGTAAACATTTATGTCGATTTACAATATATAAAATAAAAAACTTTTACGTAGTAATATAGGTATTTTTAATCGCATATGAAAGTACTAGTATAGTATTCGACGCAATCAATTTCGGATACGTATACGTCAAAGAGAAATATTGGAACAAATGTTGTAAAAACGAATATTCGAATATATTCGAATATGGAAAAGGAATATGCGAACATCTAATTCCTTATTCGTTCCCAGCCCTAAAATATACCCAAATATTGCCTAAATATACCCAAATATTGCCAAATTATACTAAAATTAAATGTTTTATACTAAAAAATGTGCTGTTTTAATCATAAATACAATATACACTTTCACTAAGATATAATCAAACATACCCAAATATACATTTTCCTATCATTGTGTTTTGAACCAAAATCCTGTATACAGTACTCTATTAAAGATATTTTTTTAAATAACATGGACACTTTTATATGATATTAAATTTCAACAAAATTACACCTTAACAATGTTAGTGTAGACAACAAATACCATATCTTGATTTAAAATTGCAAGTACATTCATAAAGAACCTATACTATAAGCAAATGTCACAACTTTATTTCCTTACAACATCTTAACTGCCCATTTCAACGGAATGAATAAAAGTTATAGCAGGCTAAGTCATATTATTTTATAAATATTCATTTATTTCTTATTATAATCTATATCCTATACAAACAAAAAAATATATTGCAATATTTGGGTATATTTGGGTGTATTTGGGTATTTCGTGCCGCCGCCTGTGACCTAGTTTTTGACCGAAGATGACCCATCTTCGAACTTGACCTAGAAATCATCAAAACAACTTTCCTGACAAATTTCCAGAATATTTGGATGAAAAACTGCAGCCACCAAAGTGTTAACAAGCTTTTTCTATTTTTAGCTCCTGTGACCTAGTTTTTGACCGGAGATGACCCATCTTCGAACTTGACCTAGATATCATCAAAACAACCTTCCTGACAAATTTCCAGAATATTTGGATGAAAACTGCAGCCACTAGAGTGTTAACAAGCTTTTTCTATTTTTAGCTCCTGTGACCTAGTTTTTGACCCGAGATGACCCATCTTCGAACTTGACCTAGATATCATTAAAACAACCTTCCTGACAAATTTCCAGAATATTTGGATGAAAACTGCAGCCTCTAGAGTGTTAACAAGCTTTTCTATTTTTAGCTCCTGTGACCTAGTTTTGACCCGAGATAACCCATCTTCGAACTCGATCTGTATTTCATTGAGACAAACATTCTGACAAAGTTTGATGATGATCCAATCAAAACTGTGACTGCTAGACTGTTAACAACCCAATTGTTGACGACGAACAACGCTAAAAGGCACGACGACGGACGCCGGACATAGCCCCATCACTATACCTCACCATGACCACTTCGTGGTCAGGTGAGCTAAAAAGTAACTGGAAAGAAAAGTTCTTTATGGAATTCCCTAACTAGAGTGAAAAGTGTCAAAATCCATCATACCTACAGCTGATGCTGATGATAAAAAGTTTAAACTCATTGCTCAGTACTGATTGGTTTCAGAGTGTGTAATTATATGCTCATAGCTTCCTACACAATTAAACAAGAGTAAGTCCTGTATAAACTAACCAAAGATGTAAAATTACAGGCATTGATTGAAGGTCAAACATAATGTATATATGGTGACTGAAAATAAGTTTGTTTATTACATGTTTGTACATATTTTTTACCATAATATGAAAACAATCGTACTTACCTTCCTGAACCAGCATGGTTGTCCTCTCCTTGTATATGACTTGTCCATCACATCATCTTCCACAAGAAAGAAAGCTTGCAACTGAAACATGAAACAGACTTTAATATTTAAAATAAGATGCATTATGCTTGACACTTTATACATATATCGTCTGCTTCCATGTATGCAAGTAATAAACTTGGTTTTTAAAACTAATTTAAATATTCAAGGGAAATCTCATTAAAATCAGCTCTTCGTTCTTGCTTAAGTGGTGGTAGTGGGGCCAGTGTTGGAGGGGGGGGGGGTGGAGTAGTGTGGCTTAGCAGTCATGGTATATGGCTTTCAACCAAGATCATTTTGTTGGAATCTTTATCGGGTCATGATGACGTATTTTATTATGACAGTAGAAGTGAAAATGGTGAAAGTAATTTTGAAACAAGTCAATCAAAGCCTTACATTACAATCAAGTTATTATAGTTAGCATAGTACTCTTTATTGTACCTGTATTTATCATGCTAAATTGTACAGGTCGATTTTAAGTTGACTTTATTTGCGAGTTTTCTTGAAATATCCACTTTTATTCTTGCTTTTGTTACATTATTTCAATATAAAGTAAAACTACATGTACATGTTACACACTACCTTAACACATATTTTTGCATAATCAGAATTTCCTTTCAATTTTTATTTCAATTTTATTAAATTTATAAAAGAAATTATGTTTCCTTTTTAAAGAAAAATATATCAAAAGGGAATTTCAAAGTTCAAAATTCTAAAACAGAGCTGTCAACAGGGTAAAGTCTGGATCATGTGCATGATGACCTTGCTCCTCATCCATGGCATAAGCTCCATCTGTTCACAGAGATTTATATGAGCCGTGTCACGACAAAACCAACATAGTGCGTTTGCGACCAGTATGGATCCAGACCAGCCTGCGCATCCACGCAGTCTGATCAGGATCCATGCTTTTCGCTGTCAGTTTCTCCACTTGTAATAGAGTTGGTAAGCGAACAGCATGGATCCTGATCAGACTGCGCAGGCTGGTCTGGATCCATGCTGGTCGCAAACGCACTATGTTGGTTTTGTCGTGACGCGGCTCATATATTTACCAGTTCTATACACCATCCGAGAATTCTGGCTTTCCTGATATCATCATCACGGGGCTGCTTGACAAGATATTTATATGCCATAACAACAAACATTCCTCTGTTTTTCTTCCCATGCGGTACATTGTATTGAAGCACCTGTGAAATAACATAAATTTTGTATTTAGTTTTGCTAAATCTGATTAAGGTTATTCAGCATTGTCTGCCATTGTTGGAAAAAACAGCATTCCAGTGCATTATAACAGTCTTTAAAATAAATGAAATGTGCATAAAACCTTACAAAAGGTTTTACTTGGGTTATACTGCAGAAATTTAGCACATTCAAGGTAATTATTCTTATAGATATAATTTTTAGTGTTATTTTTACTAGTCCTTAAAACATTGTTAGTGTTATTGGAAACTATCTTATAATCATTTTACATTAAGAGCTTTGTCTTTATGTGAAAATTAGTCAACTCTCACATTAAACCCACTTAGTGAAAATGAAACACGGCTGAAAATGCGAAATCACCTTTGAATTTTATGTTGTGCTAATGGATAAAAAATTTTAATTTTTAATGCTAGAAAATATTGCTTCTAACGAAAGTATTAATTTACAAGCAAGCTTTTTGTCTACATATTAATCACCATTTAATACACCAATTGACAGTTTCCGAACTACATTGTAGCAGATAACAGGCTATTTTTATCAGTAGAATTGCAAGTAAATATAACCAGTTGCGTATAAATCATATGTAAAATGGTCTGACTTGTGGTTTGTTACTTGTGGTAGATTTAAACCTAAATTTAAATAGCTTTAGTGTCAAACGATGTGTTGAAATGTATACTAAGAGGAAGCTAAGATCGCAAGCTTTTCATTGGTGTAATAAAATTTAAAATCGGACATTAAACCGCCCCAAACTAGCGGTTTAAAAACAGCTAACTTTGAATTGTTTCAGCATTAGATATTGATTTTACTAAAAAATAAGGGAAACAACTCATATTTTTTCATTCCATATACCTCGGTTATTACGTATTTCATATAGAGACTGTCAATGGGTGTATTGTAATTTCCAATGTGGGTTTTGTTGACTGACAAATTTTTTTTCCTAACAGAACAGTCAATAAGTCCAAAATTTAACTCGGATGATTATCAAGAACTCTATAACCATTTGCGTAGCATCAATTTCTCTTCAGGGTCGTTTTGATTGCATTCATCTACCGGAAAGTACAAGTGTCTTGGAAAATTAATCCCATCAAATTCTCAAGTTCTGTCATGAACCTTTTCTTTGTTACTTTTCACTTTAGCACTTTGGTCAGACCAAAAGCGCATTCGGTCATATCTATCGAAATAGCGATAATATTCATGTATTTGATAATTCTGTTTCACAGTTATTTAAAAAAATAAAATTTAGAGAGAGAGAGTAATTAATTTGTGGCCCTTAAAAGTTCATGCACAACCACTTAGGATGTCAACAAGATAAACTTTTGATTACAGCAGACAAGGGCCATTTGTGGTCCTAGGAAGTGGCTGTGAAACGGAAGTATTATTGGAAAGTAAAAGTACCAGTTTTAATCAAATTGTCTTTAACCGTGATTCTACATGCCTAGACATTGTCTTTGTGACATATGTAATCAAAATTGGTCATCAATAATATAGGGTTGGAAGGCTACGTTCCTTAAGGTAATTGTTTAAAAAGGACTCTCATATTTGTAAATTATTACCTTACACCGGACCGCATGCACCCGTTTTTTGTGTGTTTTTGGTACTATCTATATTTTGGTTAGTTCTGTCAGGGTGATGGTACGTTTAAACCGTTGGAAGCACCTAACTTGTCACGTATGTGTGTCCTCATATATTGGTCAGCACCAGAATTAACTTATCTGTAACGATCTCACTTTAGGACTACAAGTCAGTAATACCTCTAGGCCGACTTAACAGTAGTGTATCTTATGTTTAATTGTATTGGCGTCTTATAGATATGATAAATTTGTTTGTAAACTATAACAAAAGGAGGGCACAATAGAATTTTGTATGGTTTCAGGCCCTGCAATAGGAGATCGACCTTCACAGAATTAAATCTACTTAATGGTATTCCGTAAAAAGAATTTCTGCGCATTTTCAAGTTAGTGCTATATCAAGTGAAGAGCTCGCCTGGGGTTCCGGGGGGCCATATGTGTCTGATGACGTTCCCGAGGGGCTATTTAATTTGCAAGCATATTAACTTGGGTAGGGCCATAAATATGTCATTCACTTACGTAAAAGATCATCTTGCCGTGCGAACATTTACGTTACAATGTTCAACCAAATAAAATTATATCTAAAAGCGTACTGCGCATCGTTTTTTTTAACAAATTCTACTTCTACACACATAATAGATCTAGGGTGTTACATAATTCTCAAAGTTCAAAGTTTTATTTAAGAAAGAAGATTCATTGTTACATCAGGTTGCCATATAAATGTGTAAAGATTTAGAATAAATGTAATGTGTTATGTGATAGATTACCTTTGGTACTGAAAACAATTTATATCATAGTATAAAATAGTCACTCTCTTAATTTGATGTAATTGCGGCGATAAGATTCACTAATGACCGCGCCGGGTAGTACAAAAGCCTGCTTGAGCAGTTGCAAAACAGTGAACGCACATGGGGACTAATTTAATTTTGTTTGGAGTAGTTGTATTCGTCGGCTAAAAAAAGTACACCAATAGTGAGCAGGTGCTACTTGCCTGATTATTCTTATACTGTGTAAAATATACGGTAATTGAACGACATATATTTGAACAGTATTGAAGATCAGATAATGAGATTCAAGTTTCTTCAGTTATTCCGGTCACTTAGGGTGACTGAGGATGGGGGTGACTCCATGCACCACTTCGATAAAATGTATGTCTTACGGAACAACGTTAGCGGCTGTTTGCTATAGTGCATTTTAGATACACATGTGTTAACAGATAGCAGATATGCGCGTTTTAGCGAAATTTTAAAAAAAAATTAAAAAGGAATAAATTGAGACTAATTTAGGCAGGTCATTGCATCAAAACTGTAAGCTTCCAAAAGAACTGTAATAGGTCCGTTAGCGACTGTTGATTTATATTCGTTTTAAATTTATACTGCAATGCGCTATATAAGGGAAAATCTGACGCCCTAACATTCCGCCGAAGTTTGGTTCTGGGGCCATACTTTAGACGCCAGGGCATATTATTATTTGAGACAAACTTCGTGAGAACTTTGGTTCAACTCATTAGAAATGTTTTACAAATAGACAAAGCTAGTACTAAACTCTAGCTCGTTAAGTTCTTTTCCAAAAAAGAAGATTGGGCTTTTTAAGTGTGTTAACATCCATAATTTGCTTATCATAGGGAAAGAAAATCAACATGAGTACCACTGGGTGCGGGGCCAATTTTTGAACTCTCCATGAGGCTTATTAATTAATTTGAATCAAACACTTGGATAAGACTGAACTTAATACTTAACTACCATCTACATGAAGGATGTATCCATGCCAATATGCTTATCACCATAATAGTCTTTTCATTAAAAGTAGTGGTATCTCTATCCTTTTCCTGCATAAACAGAAATTTGTTATGTTATTCTTGTAAAGCTGGTTTTTACACTTGGTTGATGAACATGTATATGTATTTTTGTCAATGAATTATTATTGGACCCTCTAGATTTATGAAACATAAACTTGTCAAAACGGAAGCATTGTACCAAGGTCAACATTCTCCAATTGACCCAGACAAGCCCAATTATTCTAGGACTTGTCTTGGCCATCAGTCAAATTTAGTCTAATGGACGATTTGGTGTCTCATCGCTAATAGTCATTAATCATGTGTGATAAGTAGTCGGTCAGCGGGCGGGGCTATATTTTTGACCCGAGGGCTTTTTACTTTGAACAACTTGGGTGAAGACAATGCAAAATATTTGTTATAGAGACGAAATGTAATTTGCATTTTGCTCAAATAAATCGTAGAAGAACCTACACCTACTTTAGGAGAGTATGTGACTATTAAAAGAATAGATATTTGGTTTTTAATGCGAATTTTTCTACTTTAACAGAGATAAGCCATGGCAACCATTGGATGTTAATGCTGCCATGGAATTAAAATTCTTTACCCGAACAATTTTAAAAGGTGACACAAAGGAACATTCTGAGAAGTTTGGATGAACATGGCATCGAAATGTGGTTTTATTTTTGTAGAGGAGATGTCCTTAACTTTATATAGCTTAATAGTCTTTAACAGGAACGGAACGTATGCGAGACGGAATCAGTACGGGCAAAAGCGTTACAGAACTGGACGGAGCCGGAAGGGGAAAAGCGATCACAAAAAGTCTTCTACTGAGTTGCAATGTCACTTGATCAGCTAGTTGACTCATATGTGTTTGAGCTAAAAATTGCGCATCATCTGACAGCTACATATCTATGGATACATACAGAGCAGGTCATATTAACCATGTGATGAGTCCATGAAGTTTTGCTGAACTATAGGAGTATATCCCGTCTCGGTACGTACTGTCGTTTTGGACCGTCCTCTCGCCACAACACAAAAGCAACGTGGTATTTCATTGATTCTCCCCTATATGCATTTAGGAAGTTTTAATAAACTTAAATAAATCCTCTTATTATAAAGTTGAATACGCCGTACCAAAAGAGTCAATAGAGCTTAATCGAAATATTTTAGCATGTAAACATAGTTATCTTACATAGATGCGGTTCGTCACCAATTAAAGAGTTCTTGTTGTACAGTCAATACATTAAATAGCTCTAGGTTGGTTGGAGAATTGTTGGGCCGTACTTGGTCTTCTGTTGTGTGTGTTTGGGTTTCGTTGGTCCCTGCGGCCCTCAGAATATGAGAGATCCATTACCTTTGTAAGGGATGCGCATGTTATATTTCATTTAATAAGCCTTTTAAAAAGGGGGAGCTTGATTAATTAACTTATTGTTATATCCGTACATGTGTTTATGTGGCATACCATATTCCGCCATTGACCAAAAAAAAGGGGTAGTCTCTACGTAACAACCTGCTGCATGGGGGAAGATGGGGCAATTCCATACTAAAGATTAAGAATTTAAAATTAAATTATTAAAAAGCACTTATTTTAAAAATTGGCCAAGACGTTATAGTAGTTACGTCTTTTATAACAGGTCTATCTAATATTTAGTATAACTAAAAAATTTTAAAATATTACCTATAATTGTAGAGTTCGCATACTTGCGAAGAAGGCATGTCAGGAACGTTTTCTGACCAATTCATTGTGGGCTGACTAATATTTGAGTGTTATGGGCACCTGCTAAATTTCTATCCTGTTCGCATGACAAACTTGTCTATGTAGGTCAATCCAAAAATTAATAAGAAAATTGCAAAATTTTACAAAATCGGATTGTCATTGACCTCCTTATTTTGTGAACAAAGACTTGTCGGCCAATCACAACAAAGGAGGCAATCACTTTTAGACCAATTAATGAGAATCGTCGTAACTAAGCAGGTGTTCGGCTGAAATATGTTAACAAACAAACAATTTCTATCATTTTCCTGCTAAAACAAACTTGTTTACTCCAATGTATGTGTACAGTACCCAATATAATTAGTACCCTCACGCATAAATATGAATAAACCACATTGAATAGAGAAAGAACGTTCCTGACATTGCTTTAAAAAGAATCTTTTTGTTTTAAATCTATGATAACATAATAGTTGTCCTATTATAAGAGTTGGTACTCCTTATAAACGTCTCCGCCTTTTAACTTTATTTCAATTACATGTGTAAATATGCTGTTCATTTCTATAAATCCACGTATTTTTAACTAGGTATAGGAGTAATCCTATCTTAGTCCTATCATAGGTTACGTACTTGTATACGAATTTGTGATGGGAATTATGGCACACACGTAAACACATGTACTGATAAAACTATAGTTATATTAGTATCAGTTCCCCTCTAAATATAGAAAGTTTTAAATGAAGTATATGCTCGCCCATATGTTTCATAATCATTCCGGAGGCGAGGGTAAATAAACCAAATACACACACACAAGGGAAATGACCCTGAATATATATTATTTGTCATTATTAATTCAAATTCATCAAATTTTAATTAATATATAAATTATTGTAAGTTAAATTCAATCCAAATAATCAAAATAATATAAAATAAAGGCAAGAATTTTTAGGTTTAAGTTTGAAACAAACAAGGAAAGACCCTAATGAAATCATGTATTACAGTAGTCTACATGTATGACCAAATTAAATAATTTTTTCATTGATTTAATTACATTTTTCAATTCCTAGCTATTACATGTACTTAAACATCTATTTTTTCCTTTAAATTATAGATCTATAAATTGTTTAAATTTGTTTATGCCAATAGTTTTCACTGATGGAAAATGTATATATGTAAATTTATTGAAATCAAGTTGACCAAATTACACACCTTGCACACATTGAATTAAAACTTCCTGGTTTCTATACAAGTGTAATATACATATAACTGTAACAACATATACATGGCCTAGATAGTCTAATAAAATTAACTAAACTAAAAGTAATCATGCCCACACTTTAAACATCTTGGTCACAGTCAGTCAGTATTGATTGTTGAAAGGACTAATAAAAATGTATAAAATAAATGAACAAGGGGGCGTTTTTTCCCTCCAACGGTGTCCAAGAGCCAATATACTTAGATCAATGTTGATAGTTTCAACTTTTCAACAGGTCAGTTGCTTTGATGGTGGTTCGTCTACTTTACCTAGTTAGGTTACACCCACCTAACGCGTTTATATTATCAAAATTAAATATGTTTTTTTTTATAAATATTAGAAAACACACTAGATCTATGCCTAAAAGATAATATGCTGATATGTTGTTCTCGCGAAAACACGTGTCTTTCACTGTTTTAACTAATAGCAATAACTTATAGCCTACCCTGCTTTTTCTTCAGTTGAAGTCATTTTGATCACTGTAAATCTGTTAAAATTATTCGTAATCGCTGATCTAGCTCTTAAGGACTGAAACAGAAGAATGTAATTTCTAATTTTGTCCTTCCATGTCATCGAGAAAAATTGTAAAAACGAAAGTAGAAAATATGCAATAATTTCCATGCCGCACCGTTCTTCAGCACGGTCTAAAACGAAAGCCGGAATGAAAATATGGAGATCCCTTATTAGGTAGAAAAATGATAATAACCATAATTTATTCCCCCCCCCCCCCCGCTGCAAAATGGATGTAGTAAGGGGTTATACTGGTTTGAGGCTGTCCGTCAGTCCGACCGCTAGGCGATACCTACCTACATAATAAATACTATGTAATAGAAAGAGCACCGAAACACGAGGTTATCTGATTTGTACGAGGGGGCGTAGCCCCCGAGTATTAATCAGATTACCAAGTGTTTTGGTGTTCTTTCTCTTTTGTATCATAGTCAAACATAAAAACACGTTCCCTGTTGTTACAATATGAAACCCCGGCAAAAATGAACCAATGAACGAGCATCTTAATATGACATTTCTGTCGATTTCACTTTCACTGCCGTCACAATATGTAAACCCCAGCAAAAATGAGCCAATCAATGGGCATGCTCTGGAGTGCGGGTAACTGATACCCGCACTCCAGTTAACGCACTGTGCATGTATATGTATACGATTTAACCCTGACACATTTTCAACAGAAAGGTTTCCAAACTATGATACAAATAATTATATATATACCTAACTACACACCTACATGTACATATACATGTATTTGTAATTAATTAATGATTTGATTCATATTTAGACATCACATTAACTTTGAACAATAACTTAATGTAGCATAAAAGTGTGCACATGACTTAAATTGTGTCCTCGATCGTCAAAGGGTAATCTGATTTTCTTTTTCTTTTTTTTTTCTTTTTTTTGAATTCTGTAAAACTTTGTAATATGCAAAAGTGAGATTAATATGACAAGTTAATTGGACAACATCATCATAATGAGTGAAGTCAATATGATTAAAGATTTAAATGATCTTACAAGTCTTTTTTACATTATGAAAATGTTTGTTACAATTTCGTTATTTATTGATGCATTAGGGTTTTGTTTCGACACGGATTTCTACAAGCTTGGTCTTTCAATAGAAATTCTATTAAGACTATTATGATTTTTAACATTTGATAGAAAAATCCAGGTGTGGCTCCTGCTTGTAGTGGTTCTTGTTTTAGGAATAAAAGCTTTTTATGGGATACTTATCACATTGAGTGATATTTCTTGTTTATTTCGACTGAAGAAATTGCGAAAATGTCGGTAAGGGTGCACAAAACGAGTAAATATTTTTTACATAAATTACTCCATGAAGATCAATATTCATTTCTGCAGGATATGTTTGTGTTCGGCCAAGGTATCTTCTTCTACTTGCTACGGAATACCGTTAGGGCCATCATGGTTATACTTTACCACCCAATCAGATACAGTATGTGCGCATGTGTACCTGAAGGCGATGGCGACAATACGATTATGCGATGACGATAGACCGTACTGTCGTCATCGCACTGTCGTATTGTCGTCATCACACTATCGCACTGTCGCGTTGTCCCCTCTTGATTATAAAGTATAACCATGCACGATGGCCCTAACGGTATTCCGTAACTTCAGCACCATTTAGAAGATCAAGGAGTGAGTCAGTTTTATGTACGTGATTGTATATGTTATCTACAAAAATTGTGTGAAAATTTTCATAATGATTTATAGAAACTTTTATTTGTGTTCATTATGATAATTGATATTTGACATAACATTCAATTTAACTACCAGACACTATGTCCATTATCTTTGAAATTTCTTGGTTTAATAGAACTCCTTTTGTACAGCACTGCCAGGCCCGTCGTCACGATTTTGTGATTGGTGCGGCCAATTTGGTAGATTTTAGCCAGAATCTAGGGGGGTACGGGGGCATGCTCCCCCGGAAATTTTTTTATTCTAGGATGCTCTCAGGGGCGTTTTCCCGTATATTTGGCACATTTTACAGCCTGTCGATAGAACATGTTATAGTAAAATGTCAACGATTTTTTTTACAGATTTAAGTGCGTCGTAAGTTTTAAGGGTGAAATTTAAGGTTTGCATAACGGACAGGCAGGTGAACATTAAAGATGAATACATGTAATTGGTATTTGGCGAATGAAAAATAAACATTCTAACACTATCGGAATTTTTTCTATACATGTATAAACAAAGCACGTCCGAAGCGTGCATTATTCTACAACAATGCACTCGCCGTTCTTATTATCTCCCTGTGTATTTTCACATTTATTCTTTTGAGCTCCGAGAATGTCCTTTCACTGGTAGCATTAGTAGCAGGCGTTACTAACAAATTTTTTAACAACACAACGACCTCGATCAGTTCTAGCACCGATTGTTTTGACACAAATTTCAAAGCGTCAGGTAGAGTAACAGTACTATTTTCTGATTTGTCAAAATGTGAACGTTACAGCTGAAGCTGCACCTCTAAGATGTCTCGGTTAATATCGTTGCAATATAAATCACAAACAAAACCAAGTTTTCTAGTGAACGGTCTTCAAAGGTTGTGCGGCCTTAATAAATAAACCCTCCACGTTCTGAAGTACGCGATATCTCGGTTGGTCAAATCTCTCTATAACACTGGCCATGGCAAGATCGATTGCTTCAAAATACTTAGGCCGAAACACGTCCTGCACTGTAATTATGTAATAGAGTAATTGAATGAGTTTATTACTGAATTTATTTTAGGAGTTGAGTGAAAATTTATTTTATTCAACGAGTTCAATAAATTCAGTAATGAACTTACATGAATTCAATATTCTGTTTATAACATACCAAAAATAAGTACCTTTTGAAGTGAAAAAGAACCATTTTTCATTGACGCCCATAGAAAAACGCTAACATTTATATAGTGTGTATAACGCAAATGACGTCAAAATATATGCACGGCCGTGCAATACCATTTTCAAGGAGTCGCAAAAAAGGCACGGATATGTGATAAAAATATGACTTTTGAACGGTTGCCGTGTACAATCAATAAAATATTATCAAGTTCTCGGAGAATTCAGGCATACGAGTTCAAGATATTCATAATGCACATATATATACATGTATATACGGTGAACTGTACAAAGCCACGTCGATGTCAATTAACTTCACACTTAACTTCGTAAGACCCCTACATATACCTGGTCAATTAACAGTGTCCATTTGTTTCTTCGCGTCATGTTTGTATGTTACCGCGTATTGCATAAGGGGCCAGTTAAGTGTCAAATTGCTAATCAGCGATGCGTGTTTTTCTAATTTAAAAAAAATTTTTTTTTTGTTTTTGTTTTTTTTTTTTACCCATTTTTTGGCCAAAATATTGGTCCGGCCAAGGCCGGACCGGCCGGACCATCGACGACGGCCTTGACTGCATCTTTATCACCACAGTATTGTCTTTCACTCTCATACTGTCTTTTTTCCCATCTATTTCACTCCATTTGACGCTTAAGAATGGACAATTTTGAACATTTCCATTGGTTTCATAATTTATTTTTTTAATAAAAGTCTAGATAATTAATTTGATATATTAAAGCAGCATGCCTCCAGAGTCATGCTTATTTTTATGAAATTTTAAGATATTTTTCAAAAAGTAAAATTTTCAAGTGAACAAAGAATGTAATTTACACAATATAAACAGCACTTAAAATCTATGAAAATTGTCAAAAATAGATAAAAATATGGGAAGATATAGCCCTTACCGCGTTAGTAACGCAGTACGTAGAATTATTGTGAAAAAAAATACTCCAAAATCAATCCATCATTGCATATAGCATGTATATCACCTCTTTACTAAAACGTATCGGATATTTATATACTAGTAATTCTAACATATGTAATCCCCCTCCATGAATAAAAATATAATTTACCAAAACAAATATGAATATGAAATACTTGCCACGAAGTTAATTATCATTCTGAAACTTTCAAAACATGTGATAGTGCATGTATACGAACATGTATGTATGAGTTTTCAGTTTACCTGATTTTATCCTATATCTGATTTCATTGTGGAAACTTTAAAAGCCACATAAATAGGTTTTAGTAAATTTACAAAACCTTGAGTGGTTAAGAACATTAATGCTAGCGAAATAACATATCTTTATCTAGTTTGCCTTAAAACCTTGGCAAATGCACGCTGCATTATTTGTCATTTCACATATGAGCCGCGTCACGACAAAACCAACGTAATGCGTTTGAGACCAGCACGGATCCTGATCAGACTGCGCGGATGCGCAGGCTGGTCTGGATCCATGCTGTTTGCTATCAGTTTCTTTACTTGTAATAGGGTTTGTAAGCGAACAGCATGGATCCTGATCAGACTGCGCGATGTGCTGGCTGGTCTGGATCCATGCTGGTCGCAAACGCATTACGTTAGTTTTATCGTGACGCGGCTCATATTTAATTCCAAAGACTGATAAGATATTTGCCGGTATCCATGAATAGATGTCATGTCAGAGAAAATGAACAGTTCTTTTTTTAATGGTATAAAAGTTAAAACTATATATATTGATAACCAATTATCATGAATTCAAATACTTAGGCGTTGTTTTCGGCTTTTCACGTTCTTTTAGCTATTAACAAGAAATATCCATTGACAAAACATTAAAAGCCATACACGCAATATTAAGCATTCTAATTACGAAAAAACACCACACTTCTAAATCACGTTTTTTTTGTTTATATAAGGATACCTTTAAAACACCTTTGTGTCGTGTTTACTGTAATCTTCGTACCAAAATCTATTATAAACAGGAAAACATTTCTTTTCTTGTCCTTTAAAACATACTTACATTTTTAGCTCACCTGAGCACATCGTGGGCTATTGTGATCCCCCACCTTCCTGCGTCGTGCGTCGTCACAATTTCGTTATACAACATCTCCTCTGAACACTAACCAAACTTTACAGGAATGCTTCATGCAGACAGAGAACGGACCAATTAAACAACTTATAAATCCTTTTTGTTATATTTTTTATAATGTCACGATATTCCTATGAATGATATATGTGCATCATTAATCAGTTGAATTTAGACAATTTTGTTGTAACGTTTATTTATAATTTATAAGATATGTATGTATAATTGTATTGTTGTGACGATGTGCTGTATGCTCAGCTCTTTATTAAAACTTCTGTTCTGTTCTGTTCTGTTAATTCTACATTGTACAAATATTTGAAGCCTGATTTTGGTTATTCCCCTTATTCAATGCTTGTTAAATGCAAACATTACAGATGATGCTTAATTACAAAGTTTGTCGTAGACAGGATAATAGAAGAAATGGAAGAAATAGACTGAAATGTAGTTAAAGAAAGTGCGAAATGTTTAATAAAGGTGACAATGAAGATGGATTTAACCTTTTTTTTGTGTTGTGATAAGCCAACCTTCATTCAATTTTATCGAATATTTAATATAGGGATATATATCCAGGTTATGCATTTCAAGAACGAGACGGGTTAATCATTATATGCTTGTATAGTTAATATGTCATAATGGAATGCATAGGGGAATTTCAAACTTGAAAGACCATGAAAGTATAAATGCAGAAAAGTTTGAAAATAAAAATTGAATACGTAAATTCACTTTTGCATCGTTTTTTTTATCAAAATACTAGTGTCTAATATCAAGTTTATCTTGCATTTATAAAGATTTCCATCTATCGTAAGTTTTTGATTATCATGACTGTCAACATTTTTGAATCCATGTAATTTTACTTATCACAGTGAACTATATGTAGAAATTATTTGTAATAAGCTCATATGTGTATGACAGTTTGTTTCATGGTAACATGGTTCAAAATGTAAGAATGTAATACTCTCAGAGAAAATTACCTTTTCAATTGCAATTAAATGACAATTCTAAAATCAGGGAAGATCTCCGCTGCAGTTTTTCTTAAAGTGTTTAATATAATATGCTTATTATTATTATCATTACTCATAATAATAATATTACTACTGGCTAATATCAATAATAATAATAATAATAATAATAATAATAATAATAATAATAATAATAATAACAATAATAGTAATAATAATATTGTGAAATTCGTAAAATATATCTTATTAAAAATTAATCAGTATAGAATTCTAGAATATGAATGTCATTTAATTTGTCATAATATTTATATTTAAATGTAACTTTCTTAACATGCAATAGCTATTTAAACATCACAGTTTAGCATGTAAATCTTAGTTTATTAATTCACACAGAAGTCTTGAAAAAAGCTATATCTAATTAAAGCTTTACTATTTGGCTATTATTTGTCAGATCTTTTAATAATATGAGTTAACGATATTTGTAATGACGGGGTACAAGATCTGTTTGTTCATTATAAAACTTACTTGATATAATGTTTCGTTTTTATTGGTATAATTTTATGAATTGCTCACAGATTAAAAGAATATTAATAATGTTTGTCATTCTCTTTTATAATGTTATTTCAAAGACACATATTGTGCCTCAGAAAGTGGTCTTTCTTTCTGTAGAAAGGATAAATATGTGTTTTATAATGTTGTAATTTGGATATAAAACCTGCTGTTATAACCTAATGAAAATATCGTTGATTGTGAAATAATTTGTGATAGAGGTAGTAAAGTGTAAACAAAGTGATGGCAATTTGTGTTCCATACAAAATATTAATTCGAAATAACTATACTTATTGCAATACATGTAACGCCAAAGAAGAGAATAAGAGATGTTTCAAAAAAGTAAAAATGATAGCATTTCTATCCTAAATCGGCCTTCACTTATATTTATTTGTCTGTGGCTTCAAGAAGCAAATAGATATTATAGCGACAAGAAATTAGATCCACTGTTGCACACAAATTTCACTGTCAAGTTATTCGAAGGCACCAACCAAAGCATATCAATTATATTAAATAATGAAAAAAAGGAAAATAGGTGTCACACAAAGACAATGCATGCGCGCTAAAAGCTATATCAACTAATACACACCATTTTAATGATATATATTGTTGCAATCTGTTTACAGACAGATACACAGTGTTTCATTAAAGACAGTCGTGGACTTTGTTATTCTGGTAATCCTTAAATTGGTAAGGATTGGTACTGTCAATGGTGTACAGGTATACACTCAGTTTCATAGTACATTTCCCCCTGCTTTGTCCTTGGTAAAAAGACAGGAATTCCAAACGCGTACATAACTATAAAATATGTTTGAATAATCATAATGCGTTCAAAGAAACATGCCAGCTATAAATTATGTTTTCTTAACGTAAAATTTAAATGTCAAATAATAATAATAATAATAAAGAAAACACATCTTGTGCTATCGAGATTACTCTGCAGAATGACACATAATTTATATTGTTTCATTTATATATGCGTATTTTCATTTTCGGTAATTTCACTAAGAATTTTTTTTTACTACAGTGAAACATATCCTCCGTTTTTTCGCAGGTGTCTTGCCGGACTACTTTTTTCTAATTTCAGCCAAAACACAAAATTAAAAGGGAATTCTTTCAAATCATAAGATTAAACAAGAGAAAAGTATATAATAAACAGAAAATTTGAGTTTTTTTCCTATTAATACAGGACTTATTTTCAGCTTGTGGTATGAAAATTGTCATATTTATTTTCATACCATTCGATGAAAATAAATCTTGTATTCATAGAAAGAAACTTGAATATCCTCTATTTATTTTCTTAATCAGTTTTCTTAGTGCGTTAAAATCATGGTTATCATCCTAATAATTCATTTGAGACACATGTAGCGATATTCATAAGTTTTATAGTTCCTTTGCAATTTTGCACACTAATTCAAATAAATGTCACAACAAAGGTCAACATGAAATCATTATTCGTCAATGTCACCTGACAGATGGCTCAATAAGGAAATACATTCTGTCATGTTACTTGTAAAATACAAAATGTCAATTGCTTTATTGCAAATTTTAAATGCAAACAGTCAATTGCTACTATGTTTCAAAAAATGATAAAATTCAATTGGTATAGATGACTTTATTCACATCAGAGATAATAGAACATTAGCATTGATACATATTCTACATTAAATGAATATCTCGTACAAAAAAGAAAATTGAATAAGTTGGTCTTTTTTAGCTTCCAAGCATCCTTCTTTTGAAATCCATTTATTCTTCTTAGATAAGATAATATAAGATTATCACGTGTACAGTGTTACATTAGCACGTGTATAATATAAGATTATCACGTATACAGTGTCAGATTATCACGTGTATAATATAAGATTATCACGTGTACAGTGTCAGATTATCACGTGTATAATATAAGATTATCACGTGTACAGTGTCAGATTATCACGTGTATAATATAAGATTATCACGTGTACAGTGTCAGATTATCACGTGTATAATATAAGATTATCACGTGTACAGTGTCAGATTATCACGTGTATAATATAAGATTATCACGTGTACAGTGTCAGATTATCACGTGTATAATATAAGATTATCACGTGTACAGTGTTAGATTATCACGTGTATAATATAAGATTATCACGTGTACAGTGTTAGATAATCACGTGTATAATATAAGATTATCACGTGTACAGTGTTAGATTATCACGTGTATAATATAAGAATGTCACGTGTACAGTGTTAGATTAGCACGTGTACTATGAAAGATGGTCACGTGTACAAATCTATAACAAATCACATATACAAGAAGATACAATTTGATACAAAACAATAAAGACAGGCTAACACAATCCTAACAATATATCCATATTTAAATAGAACTTATTATAGTAAGTTATCATTCAAACATATCTGATGATGTACATTATATGCTGCTTTATTTTAATCAATTGGTAGTTATTTAGAATTATTTTTCCATAAATTTTGATGAAATATACATATATACCTTTTGTGTATATATTGTACTTTTATTCAGGCTTCTTATTGTTATGAAACATATAAATATCGGTAGATATTATACAATAGCATAATATTGTTTTATTTCAAAATGTTCATGAAAGATAAAAACGCATGTACTTAAATCTACTAAAACGTCAAATAAAATAAATCAAAGAAGAATTAAATAAAATGCAATATGACGTCAAAGTCAACATTAGATTTGCAAAAGCTTGATTAAAACAACAACAGTGATGAAGGTAAGAATCAAAGTATGACAAAAAGTTGTTCCAATATTTAACAAGACTTCATTATTTGCTGTAAGCCTGTTAAAGGTATCTAAACACACAAAAACGCATTTCATTTCGTCACATACGCTTCCATCTTGTATGATATACTCACTCTTGTTAAGGCCAACATTTAGTCGGCCGATGAAAACACCTCGGCTCAAAATACTTATGTTGTAAAACGAATCATTCAAAATCATAAGTGGACAAACGGATGTAGGATACAAGGTCATTGCATGAAGATCTGGACACGACTTGTAGTGTCTTCTTTCCTTGATACGTCTTAAAGTTGCTCTTGTTCCGTTTTCATTTTCATCTTGTAATGTGATGGTGGATGACATTGCATTGTACGATAGGTCAAAATGGTCAATATAGACGAAGTAGTTATTTGTACTTAACTTTGTTGAATCATTTGAATGTATATCGATATAATTTATATTCATTAATTTGTTTATGCTCGTTGTCTCAACTAATTCCTCATATTGATTTTTGATACAGAGGTCCATGTGGACTACAAGAAATCTGCCAATAGAATTTCGTTTGTTGCATGACGGTTGCTGTTTTTCGTGAATACTTATTATATCTAATTTACCAAGAAGACCGATGCTATCTAGCCAAGTTGTGATGTACTTATCTATTTCATTGACCTCAGACATGACATTGTCCATCGTAAACCTTGGTATTAGCACGAGGAACATTCTGTACATGATTCCACCAAATCGCCTAGCAACATTGACACAGCCACCTCTCAGAAATATGCTTGGGGGCATACACATCGCCATGACGCATTTATTCTGCAATAAGCAAAATTAGAATAAATAACAATAAAATAACAATACAAAATAAATTGCACATATTAGCTTCTTAATATAATCCTTTATTTACAGATGTTTGTAAATCTTAGGTAAGGCATTCAACAAAATCTAAACTGTTGATTTGCATATCAATAAAGAAGTATCTGTCCCCATCAAGAGTTGTTGTTATGGCGATACTTACGGGTATGTTTAGTAGTTATTGGCAGTCATAGGAAATGCGTAATTAATTTGCTATCGACAAACTTATATAACTGATGTGGCATATTACTTATATGTGTACATATGTGAAATATTGAATTTATAAATACAATTATTTATGCCACATGTTACACAAATATGTACACGTGTCAAAAATAAATAGTCTATTTATATGTTAGTTTATATGTGTATGTACATATTATTAAACCGAAATTCATAATTAAGTAATTGTAGCTGTCACATTGAATTCGACAATAATTAATAAAACCTGTAATGCATCGTATATCGTTTTGCCAGCACAGTGTTTATGATGTGTATCTTCAACCAATTCTATTCCATCGCTAGAAGTGTCGATACCTTGGTAAAGCAGCATTCGTAACATATTTCTCCCTTTATTTGGATCGCTACTTTCTGGGTTACACTTTTCTATAATATTTCCTTCTACTTCTTTGTTACATATGTAGCAAAATACATTTTTGTATAACACTGCATAAGGTGCTGTGTATAAGCTGCAAGCTTTAACTATGACAGCGTCATAAACTGCCCATTTCCCAGTGACATTGCAGCGATCTATTAAGTGAAAGCACTCTGGAACCATTACATTTTCAGGGGGATAGAATATCAAGTTACAGTTTGTATTGTTAAGCACTTCTCCTATTATATCATCAGATGTTGTCGTCTGAAATGGTCCATCTATACATTCAATACTGGAATCCCATGGTACAAGAAAGTTGGTACTTCTATTGTTACACTGAGCACAGTACACATTCATGTATGTTATATTGTTTTTGATGTCAAAAACTGGAGGTGAGAAGATTCCACTTTCATCCTGTTGCCTGTAACAATTTTGGTGTATCTGCAAGTTTTTGATATCAAAATAAGGACAATCCTTCAGCCAATAAGATTTTATACTGTGAGGATAGACGTTGGTGATCATGTTCCACTGTTTTATCTGGGGATAGACGCACGACATACCATCCAAGTCGTTATCGGTTTTATCGTCCGTACCGCAGCAACATGTCTTATCACATTGACACTTTTCACAGCAATTTGCTGGTGTTATGTCTATTTGGTACTTTAGTCGTGTTTCTAGAAACGTCACGTTCATATCATGGATTGGTCTATATACGGACTGACAGACAGGAGGTTTTGTGCAATACGCACGTTGTGCTAATATAATGAAATCCATGTCGTCTGCAGTCAGAGAAAGCGGGAATATTTCAATGAATGCTCCACCAAGACTTTCACATCTATATAGATACAATATGCACACAATACATGTTGTTGGAAAATTCTGAAATGTATGGAAAAAATTAAAATGAGATATAACACCAGCCGGTGCACTATAATATTTATGCCGGCTCGCCATGGCCAGCCTTTACTTCTTCTTGAGGAATTTGCTGATCAAGCTGAAAACACCATGAATATTAATTTTTTTCCTTGACTCGGCTCTAAAAACCGCTACTGGGCAGGGCACCAATATTATGCGCCAATGAAAATAAGTCTTAAATATGGGGTAGCATTTTTTTCCTCCTATTTCAACACCATTGTTGTGTAACTACAAGTATTTTTAAGCGTATAGATACCATGCGCTTACTATCTGTTTTGTCTGCCTTTATGATGATTTCTCAATGTGTCGCAAATCCGGAATTTCAATTAAATATGATTTACGTACCAATTAACCAGACATAATTTTGAATTGACATAGAATTATAGTTTTGTATTTCTTTTCCCTAAATTAATGAATTAATGTCTTCTTTTCGAAAACTCAGTTACTATACCTTTTCATGGTACATTTAAATACAATGTTTTATCTTTCAGTAACAACCGTAATGTGGAATCAAAAAAAAGAAATATGATAAATCACGAATATCACCAGATAAAGTATTGTGGTGCGACAAAGATTACAGTACTGTAAGGAAATACATTGTAGATTAAAACATCTGTAAAACACGGGTTAAATTGAAGGTCATGTGTAAAAAAAGTGCGCCTATATACTCAAAACAACAAACAAAACCTTTCTCAAACTAAGTACTCTATACCAAGAGCCACATCACCTTGCAATCTTAATATATTTTACAACGTATTCCTTCCAAACCTATGTGTAACCAATGTCTACGATCGTGGTTGTGCATGAATTAAGTAATCTTCAATGTAGAAACATGTGCGTCATTTGAGATATCCAACTGACTGTTACTAATAAAGCATGTGTCTGACATGATATAACGTCAAGTCAAGTCACGGGACCAAAATACATAAATGTATTATACTAAACGTAAAATTTAAACATTTTAAGGTTGTGTTGTAAGTCGTATTAAATATTTTATTACATGTATTTATCTACTGTGTTGTACAGATCATAAGATAGTAAATATAAGCAGAAATTTCCATAATTGCAAAATAATTATTTGATGACAATGTTTCATAAAAGTTACTTAAGAACTATACCAATTTAGAAAAAAGGTATTTCTAATTTCTGAATATTTGCTGTAGTGAAAAAAGCATGTTATTCTCAGTCAATGTGAATAGTGAACTGATTATTCAGACAAAAGTTGCAAAAGCGTTTTTGAAAAGGAACTGATTTCAACATTAAGTTTGTCGCTTGAACGTCGAAATTTTGCATTTGCTTTTATTGTTTTGCAGGCATTTCTATTAAAAGATAACGTTCTACATTTAATAAACTTTTTGAAATATCTACGATTATTTATCTTAAACTTACACATCAAATTGATAAATCATTGAATAAATGCCAAATATTATTATATTTATTTTTCTTCCCCGAAAAAAATTATGGATTGTCAACGAATATGTTGATCAACCCTCGTATAAAGGTGACATCTGCTTGCATTTTAATGTTATTATGCCAATTTTGATAGCAGCAATCTATTAAACGTTGCTTACAAAAATATAAACATCTCATGCGATATTTCATTTTAGTGATTCGCCAAACGGTCATTAATATCGATATGTGATAGAATACTGCTTTGTGTAACGAACATTTTCGTTTGGTTATGTTTTCAGTAAAATATTACGTACAGTTTTCCATATAATATGTATGTTCACGATATTTATAAATTGTACCTTTCTATGTAACAATACTTAATTCAAAATTTCTGCGTCTAGAATATTTACTGTAGATTATGAAATGAAATGTTATATGGTAAAGTCGAAAACTTAAGAATATGTTGCGTTTTTCAACGATTAAAACTTCGATATACATGCATGTATTAGGTTTGAAATGTTGAAACAGAGGATAGAATTTGCTCATTTGCCAATTAGATAAAAACAAAACGTCATTACTTTCTGTAATCATAAGGTTTGCTTAAACCAATACTTAGATTAGTTGTTTTTTTTGCAAAAACGCATACTTTTTTATATAAATATTACGTTTCGTTTTTTTATGTAAACATCTTATTAATTAATCAAACCGAGTTTGTAACATTGCTATTTTGCCGTTTTCGGTGTTCTTTTGGTTTCCATTTTTTCATATTTTAATGATTTTTGACGAAGCGCAAAGTTCTTAGAAGTATTCAAATAGTACAAATTAAATATACCTTCATATTCATCAAATGTATAGCTTAAGTCCTATATTGTCTAATCATTCGATAGATTGTGATCACTTGACGGTCTCCTTTTTCAGTTCTTAGCAACTGCGGAAAGCTACTGCAAATAACATGGCATTACAATGAAAAATGTATACTTATATATGTGTGTGTTAATACGTATTGACATTTGTTTAGTTTTCATTGGCTGAAAGTCAAACAACTTCAATGGTCGTTCATAATCTACTTTGAATCTTTATAAAAAGTGTTTGTCGTATATATATAGTGCTACTTTTATTTTCCGTTAGTCTACAGATTTGGTCCTGGCATTTCTAGTGGCAAGCATCATATATATGCAACGCGGGCATTTTTTAGACAAGTTTCTTCGGCGAAAGTCATATGCATGTATATACAATATATAATGTCGTAAACTATAGCCTTCGATATATTCCAAATTTATCGGAGCAATGGGTTTATTTTATTCGTACAAAAAGAACGAATTGCCTCACAATCCTACACCCATCATCTAGAAGCATTGTGTCCAACGACAACTTCCTTATGATTATATTGTAGTAAAGTGGAGCTTTAAAGCCATTGCACTGGCCAGTCTGCAATGAAATCCGAACAATGAGTACGCTTCGTAAATTCTTGGAGGTTTTTTTTAAAGAACTGACGTAGGGTTTAGGGAAGATTGCTGCGTAGGCCAGAGTCTATGCATTGCGCGCATTTGCGTGTTTTTTTAGTCATGTTTATTATATTGCCGTAAGGGGAACCACCAAGCTATTGCACCGGTCAATTTGCAAAAAGACAAATCATAATGAGCTAATAAAAGATGGTGTTATTTTCCGGAAATACATAATGTCTATATCTTTATATACATATACATGTACTAGGAGACGAAATTGCCAAGCAGGCTAAACGCATGCATCATCAAGTGGGGCAAGCGCCATTAGCAATACATTGACTTTGTATATTGCGGTAAACGGTACCCAACGAGCTTATGAATTAGTAAATCCGCAACTCAATCGGACTAGTGGGCAGGGAACTGTGTCACTTTACAAAAGGGTGCCTATTATAAAACTAACGTATATATTTAAAAAAAAAACTCCATACCAGCTTACGCCAAAGCCAAGCGGACATTTGGCGACCATGTTTCTTGAACGAGCACAAAATGTATTTCATTTTTGTAATGAGGAACTTCTAAACTACTGGAAGTTGTTTAGAAGTTCCTTGTGCAGTCTGCACAAGCCATTCGGAAATTATATCGGATCAATGGGTAGCTCATGGTGGGCTTTGGAAAATGGTATTATTTCATTGTATACTAACAGAAATCGCAATGCAAGTTCAAACGCTAAATAGTATTCAACGCGGTCATCTAATGACCATGTTCATTGGACGTGCACCGTGACCATTATATTGCCGTAAACTGTAGCTTTCCAGCTTTTTCACTGGCCTATCCAAAAGTCGGACTAATATGTAAATCAGCAACTCTGCAAATGATGCATGAATTCTGTATACTATCAGAAGCTGTACTATCAAGCGCATGTTTGCATCTTGTTTTGTTGGCCGAGCAGCGTGTGCCTCATATTGATGTGAAGTGAAATCTCACAGCTATAATTGATATAAATTTCTAAAAATTGGATGCAGCCCCAACATAAAAACATATAAATTGCATGTTGTAGGATGTCATGTGATATATGTCAAAAACGTATGTGTTTCTGTGGGAATTCGACAAAATCTTTCGTAAACGAGTTTATGAGCAGTTACTGTCCCTGCATGTATTTTTCGAAAGGTTGGGAAGAGAAAAAGTAATGCTTGCGGAAGACAATACTAGGTCACTACTGCCGTCTGTAATATTTACTGTTACATACTGTTTCGATAGCCAGTATCCATTTGTTGAGGCGGGATGGGCTTTGTTATAACATAGTGCATCCATAACTCTTTCCGGTGATTAAAATGGGTGAAAATTACAACAAAAATGTTTATATTTAGTTTAAATATTCAACATTGCATGTATTTACAATATGTTGCATCTATGTATTTATGTAGACATTAAATGATAACGATATTATTACCTTTAATCAAAACATTATTCTTCTATGACAGGAAACCTTAATGAAATCACTTATATCAAGACTTACAGTTATAGTAACTAAATGTGTTTAAATTCACACTTTGATTAACTGAGGAATTTAAAACTTAAACTTCATGGTATGAAATCCAAAGTTTTCATGTCACTGGCACAAGAAATTGCCTAAGAATTTTATGATTCATTTCATATAAATTCAAAGATTGAACCATGTGTGTAAGACAGGGACCCGCGGGTATGATTTTGAAGACATTGTGTGAATACCTTTAATATTAAAAGCGGAATTAAAGTTGTACATGTACATACAGCATTAGCCTCCTGATTGACAAGTGAAAACTTGTGTTCTAAAGCTTCCCTATTCTTTAATAATTCAAGCTGAATAATGATGCCAAAATTGATCATGTGACTTGACTAGCATATATATGTAATATAGAATGCAGGAATGTCTTTGACATTACAATAAATGATTATTGAAATGATCTTCACTTAGGTTTAATAACCAAAACATATGAAATCTAAAAAGCAATGCATAAAACAACTTGGGCTTTAAAACAGAAAAAAATTGCAAAAATACAGTAAGGTTATATACTCAAAATTAAATTGAAAAAAATTGTTCGACTCATAGCCAGATTTTAGTTAATAAGCATTGAAATGTTTTTTGTTGTGGATCATTTTGCACCATAAGCAATTATTCTGGAAAAAAAAAATGATTGAGCAAATGATTCTGAGACTTTGCACACAAGTAATTGGTATAGACCAACATCAAATGGTATAAAAAAATCTCCAAAAAATAT